AGTCCAGTCCCTGTGCTCCTCAGAGTCCGGGCTGGTTCATATTTGACCCATCCTGATGCTTACGTCAGGAGCAGTGGTCGCCGTAGGACAGCGCCCGGGAACACATCTCCAGATGCTGATGCTCGGCTTGGTCAGGACAACCGGAGCTAGAGGATTTAACCTTGTGAGCATGTTTTTAGTATTAGGGGAAACCGGAGTACCCGGAGGAAACCTACGCAAGCACGGGGGATTCGAACCCAGGACCTGCTTGCTGAGAGGCGAGAGTGCTATCAACTCAGCCTCCGTGCAATAAATATGCATTAGTAATTAATATTAATAATGCATTTTGAATTGAATCATAAGGTAGAACAATTGCTTTGGTATCAAGTTGGAAAGTCAGGAAAGTAATGAGGCCGAGGCCGCTCAGTGTGACCAGCAAATCTCAAAGCAACACTTTCATCTCTTTATTTGAATCCTCTTCACTCTTTTGGCCGACACATTTATCACCAATGAATACAAATGCTTTTGCCTACTCTATTTTTCCATTCAAATTCAACAGATATGTAAATAACACCTTTTTATATAAATCAGGCATCAACATTCATACTTATTCTTGGGAAGAGGATTCTTGGGAAATTTTCCTCATTTGAGTATGTCTCTTTTAAAATAGAACAAAAACAATCTTCTATTCTTATTATTGTTGTGTACAAGCCGCCACAGTCATGTCATAGTTTCACTGATCATTTCACCGAGTTGCTTTCAGTTGTGTGCACAGACTTTGATAGTTTATCGTCATAGGTGATTTTAATATACATGTAGATAACGTTAATGATAGATACGCGAAAGAGCTGAGCTCTGTGCTGGAAACCTTTGGTCTCACTCAGCATGTGAGTGGCCCCACCCATAGCAGAGGACACACTCTCGATCTGCTAATTACTAAAGGGGTTAATATCTCAAATGTAAATGTGGCCAATGTTGCTCTGTCAGATCATTTCTGTGTATTTTTTGATATGTGTCTCAATAGTAAAGCACGAGCTGAATCCTCAATTGTTAGAAGAAGAAGACACATAAACAAAAATACAGGTGAACTTTTCATGGGGATGATAAACTTTGATAACACGTTGTGTTCTACTGTGGATGAATTACTTAACTCTGTCACCTCTAGGGTTTTGGATGTTCTGGACACGATTGCTCCTGTAAAGGTCAAAATTGTTACAAATAAGCAAAAGGCGCCATGGACAAAAGCAGACTCTGTCAGGGCACAGAAGAGAGAGTGCCGGAGAGCCGAGCGGAAGTGGCGAAAGTCAAATCTCCAAGTTGACCATGAGATCTTCAAAGATGCATTGTGCAAGTTCAACAGTGTGCTACGTAGAACGAGGGAAACTTATTTTTCCGAAACAATCGAAGGTTGCAGTAACAATCTACGCGTTCTGTTCTCAACAGTAAATAAATTGACAAATCCCCCTGTTAAGATGCCATCAGAGCTTACCTCCAAAACCAAATGTAATGAGTTTGCAGAGTTTTTTAATGACAAAGTCCAAGGCATCAAAAATGCCATCACCTCCACAGTAGAAATTACAATCCAACAGCCAGTGAAGCTTTTTGGGCTGACACACTTTACACCAGTACAAAATGAAACTGTCCAAATGATAATTACAAGTCTGAGTTCTTCTACATGTAGCCTGGATGTATTACCTCCTAGATTTCTTAAATCTGTTCTGAGCAGTCTTTTACCTTCACTCACGCATATAGTAAATATGTCTCTTGAATCTGGAACATTCCCAATGGCCTTGAAAACGGCAGTCATCAGACCCCTCCTAAAAAAGAGGAGTCTGGATGCCTTGGCACTTAAAAGTTATCGGCCCATTTCAAATCTGCCTTTCATGGGTAAAATTCTAGAAAAAGTTGTCTATCAACAACTTACAGAATTTTTAATAATCAATCACTCTTTTGATATGTTCCAGTCTGGTTTTAGACCCCACCACAGCACAGAGACCGCTCTAGTGAAGGTAACAAATGACATCAGACTTAACACTGACGCAGGAAAAGTCTCAGTTCTTATTCTGTTAGATTTAAGTGCTGCTTTCGACACTGTCGATCATGGTATCCTCATTCAGAGACTTGAGGACTGGGTTGGTGTTTCTGGAACAGCCCTAAGCTGGTTTATATCCTACCTACAGGACAGAAAGTATTTTGTGGAGATCGGAAACTGTATCTCAGACCATCTGGCCCTAACCTGCGGAGTGCCACAGGGATCAATCCTGGGGCCTCTCCTGTTTAATATTTACATGCTGCCTCTGGGTAGGTTAATACACAGTAATAACGTGTCCTATCACAATTATGCTGACGATACTCAGGTCTATGGGTCCCTGACAGCAGGAGAACATGGACCAGTGGACTCGCTCCTTCACTGTATCCAACAAATCAGTGATTGGATGCAAAATAACTTTCTCCAGCTAAACACAGAAAAAACTGAAATTATTGTTTTCGGACCTCAAAAACAAAGAGAGAGCGTTATCTGCCACCTCCAGTCTCTCTCCCTAAAACCCTCAACTCAGGTCAGAAATCTAGGAGTAATAATGGACTCAGACTTAAATTTCAATAGCCACATATCATCTGTGACATCATCAGCTTACTTCCACCTAAGAAACATTGCTAAAATTAAAAACATTGTGTCTAAAGCAGACTTGGAGATTCTTATCCACGCATTTGTCTCCAGTCGATTGGACTACTGCAATGGCTTGTTCACAGGTCTCTCTAAACAAGCGGTAAAACAGCTGCAGTACATCCAAAATGATGCAGCTCGAGTCCTGACTAGAACCAGGAAGTACGACCACATTAGTCCGGTCCTCAGGTCTCTGCACTGGCTTCCTGTGGCTCAGAGAATAGATTTTAAAGTAGCTTTACTTGTGTACAAGTCTCTCCATGGCCTCGCACCAGGGTACATCCGCGACATGTTGGTGCCATATGAACCAACTCGGGCTCTGAGGAGCACAGGGACTGGACTTCTGTTAGTGCCAAGAGTCGGAACTAGACATGGGGAGGCTGCGTTTCAGATTCATGCAGCTAGAGTCTGGAACCGTCTTCCCGAGAGTGTGAGACAGGCGTCTACTCTAGCAGTTTTTAAAACTGAACTGAAAACAGTTCTTTTTAGCTGTGCATACAAGTGAATGATTTTATATTTGTTTTTATCTTTAATCTTTTTAATGCGCTATGATTATTTATGATTATTTATGATTGTAATCCCTTCTGTGATTTTAATGTTTTACGGTTTTTAACTACTTGTGTGATTTTATATATCTTGTGCTCTTAATCTGTCTTTTTATGTTTACTTAAATTCTAATGTTTGATGATTTATGCATGATGTTATATGGGTTGTGAGGCGCTTTGCGTTGCCTTGTGTAGGAAAGGCGCTCTATAAATAAACGTTGATTGATTGATTGATTATTCATTTAAGTAAGTGTCTTCAGCATCAGACCATCAAAAAACCGTCATTATCCTTAAGGACTTTGCACTTATAATCAACTATACATTAATCAGGGTAGAAAATGTGACATAACTGGAACCTAATGTACTAATTATCCAGGAAATTCAACATTCAACAAGATTTATGGACATTTATCAGCCTTTTCTGTTTTATTTCTAGTGTTACTTAGTGTTAAGTAAAGCACTTTACTTTAATTTAGCATATAATTAGGTAATATATAATATGTAGTGTATATATTATATATATATGCTGTATTATGTTATATATTATGTTATATATTATTCAATAATGTATTGTGTTATGTTGTATATTATGTTATATATTATGCTGTATGTTATTCTTTATTCAAGGCTAGGTTTAAAACAGTCCTCTTTAGTTTAGCATATGGCTAGGAAGGTAAGACTCGGAGAAGGTTAAACTCCTCAGTGTTAGTCAAGCTGCATAGGGAGTCAGTTTGCTGGGAGAAGTATGGTAACTTGAGCACTATCCTCTCCTCCTTCCTACTTTATCTGTTTAGCATTTTTAGGATTCTGACTGTAGTTTGTTCATTGCTATTCACCCGTTGTCCCATTGTCTGTTTCATGGTACGATGACGGGATCTCTGAGCCTGGCCTCTTCCATCTACACCTGCGGACTGCCCCGCCCGACCCGCCTGGGAGTGCTTCAGTCCTGCACCGGACCTGTCCACGTTCAGCGTCCACTGGTCCACGTTCTGTAGCTAGCTTAGGTCCTAGATCATTAGCCTGTCCGTCCGGAGGAGCGGATCCCTTTCTCATATGGGTCTCCCTCCCTGTGGGTTTCCCTAGTTCTCCTCCAAGGTTTCTCACTTTTTCCCACTGGGTTTTTTAAGAGTTTTTCCTTGTCGATGCAGGAGGGTCTTGTTGGACAGTTAGTGTCCAACAGAAAGGATTGGTGATGATCAGGACACTTTAGCATTCTACAACATGTATGGACATTTTCTTCTGTGTGTGCTTTATATTCTTCATGTGTTTTAACTGTTGATTCTCTGACCTGTGTTGGTGATTTCAATGGTTTTGTTAAGTCCTCTGAGATGACTTCTGTTGTGACCTAGGGCTATACAAGAATAAATTGTATTGTATTATTGTATTGTTGTACCGGTTTGATTCTCTGATCTCCATCCATCCATTTTCTACCCTTTAATTCATTTCTGGGTCAGGGGGGTGGCAATCAGAGGTGCAACCCAAGTGTCATAGCACCAGCCCCTCACTGACACTCTGCAGGTGGTGAGTCCACAGGAGGACGGCTGCTCTCTGAGTGTGAGCACAGCCTTGATCTTTCAGTGGGGGCTTTTTGGGCAAAGTGGGGTTAAGTGTCTTGCCCAAGGACACGACAGCAGTCATCAGTGGGAGTCGGTGGAGAAGGTGTAGAGGTGGGAATTGAACCCACGACCTTCTGGCCATAAGGCCAATGGTCTACCAACTGAGCTACTGTCGCCCCAACACAGATTCTCTGATCTGTGTTGGCGAATTCAACGGTTGTGTAAAGACATTGAATTGAATATACAAGCACTCACCAATGAGCTCCTTGTTCCTGATGTCCAGAGCCATGTTCCGGAGCGCCGTGGCCACAGCACAAACCACTTTATCGTTGTCTATCCTCAGTAACTCCACTAAGATGGGAAGGCCCTTCTCTTTACGCACAGCTGCTCGGATGTACACAGACCACTGAGGAGAGAAAACGCAGAGAAGAAGTCAAGAAAACATGATGATATGAATAAATGAGTTTATCCTTTATTGGGAGAAATTATAACATTTTGCATTTGTCATTGTGTGATTGAACTGGTGAATAGAACTTATATTATAGACACCTCCACTGTCTCGGCATACAGTTTGTGGCTTGACTTTGCCTATTTGGAGCCGTCGAGAGCACACCTGTACAATGCCAAGGTGAATACCATCAATCTTCAGTGCTGTGGACGAACTTAATAATAATTATACATAGTTTTAATATTGCATTTTACAGGTTAATAAAAATCAAACAAGACAACTAAACCAAGTGAACATTGATACACAAAGACAAGCACAAAGTAAACTGTCATAACCTACATAGACCTTGGGCAGACTAATAAATATAAATAACAACTATGGTTTCAGGCTTTTTTAAGACTCTTGGCAAATAAATCAATGATCGATTCCTAAAAAGATCCATCATCATCAACTGAAAAGATCACTAAACTATTTCTATTAGGGCCTGATCGTGCCCCTCAACCTTCCAGTATAATATAATTACCAAACAACTATGAAGAAGTTACAATATACAAAAATCCATCACAGTATAGAAGTAGTAGAGAAGTATTATAGCAATAAATTAATCGTAATATAGAAGTAGAAGAAGAAGAAGAGAGAGTTAATGTTGAACGTTGCTTGTTCTGTGCATATTCTTATCCAGGAATGTTTTTCAACAAAACCGCAGCTGTTTGGTTTGATAAAACCTTGAAAAACATGCATTGCATTCTGGTAGAGAACATTAGCCCTTGTATCTGCCTTTGTCACCTTGTCTTTATGATTTAGGTTGTTATGTTACATTGTGGACACGAGGTCAAACAATATGTACTTTTCAGGGCTAATAATAATTAATATTAGTCAAGGCTAATAACATTAGTGAAAGTATTCAACACACTAGATACAGTATACTCCAGCATGGACCAAAGGCATTGCATTTCCTGTATTTGAACTGATTGATTCTCTAATATGTTGATGGCAAATTGCCAACATTCTAAAGTCCTCCGAGATGTCTGCTGTTGTGAATTAGGGAAATATTAAATACATTGAATTTGATCAAATTAATATATTAAGTATTTTAAGATCTGGCACAGCTGTTGTTTTCCTCAGTAGAGTATTACAAGTTCAGTTAGTTAGTATAGTTGTTGTTTTGACCACTAGGGTCCAGCCTAGTGGACTCATTCAGCCACAGCAGTAATAATTCAAAAAGGTTCCTATTGTTGTGATGAGCCGAAATATTTTTGTAGGCAACAGGCAAAGCAGTAACTTATTTATTTATAATAAAAACCCCACAGACATGGAACAGTTATTAAAACCTTAAGGTTAATTCACTAAACTTCAAAAATAGACAAAAAGTAACCTCCATAAATTAATTTGAACAAATAAATTCTCCCAAAAGTGAAAAGATCATGTGAGCAGGCCAAAAGCTTAGCAGGCAGAGATGGGAGCTGCCAACAGTACGCCGACACATCCTCTTCAGAGACTGTTAGCAGCAGCAGCCAGAGCAGAGAGCCAGGAGGGAGGGGAGCTTGTCCAACCAGACACAACAAAACACACACTCACACACACGCACAGGAGAAAACCCAAAAATAGATAAAGTGATTTCCAGAAGACCACCTGCCCTACATAGTATCTCCTTTCTCATTGTTTTTCTGTAGCTTCCTCTTCCATCTCTGTCAGGACATTTACCCAGCCATGATACAGCGTGCTCTCTGCAACTCTGGGAAAACCTCACTTGGATTTAGAGCCCATTTCCAGGTGCGGTTGTATTATTTGAAGGTCATTGCCAGTCTAAATCCTTACTTCTCGGCCTTACCTCTTCGTGCACCAGCCTTACGGCGAACACTTCTTTCGATAACTCCTTCCAATATGACTCTATGACTCACACATTATTGCCATCAAGCTGCTCCCATTCGTCAGCTGCTGTCGGACTGTGGCTGTGCTCCCCGGGGCGTCGGCTTAGGGCCTGGGCATTATTACAGTAATTGTATTCCTTCTGAACAATATTAGCTCACACAGAAACTAAGAGGTGAGATTTCGAAGCTAAAAATATTGTTTTAATTTCAATCGTGTTTTCCCTGCTGACTAAGGGACACAGCGTATAAGGAATAACAGCCACAAGTTTCACAATCATTTCACATGATCTTGCATTCACTACTCCCCACTTAAGACCTATAAAAAACAGATTTAGCTTCACTGTTTTTCACTTGGATTAGTCAGTTTTTGACATTGATAGTTTCACCAAGTTCTAAGTCCTGTAGATCGATTGTAACCAATTTTTATTATACATACAAGTCATTCCTGTCAGTTTGTTGAAGCTTGAAATCCCATCTCCACTTTAACAAAGAGAGCCATAACCTTGCTTTTAAGTTGGCAATGTTTCTAATAAATGGCAATTGCAGACAGTTACAAACAAAGACGTAGTGATGGAGCACATGCATCAGTAGAAGAGTTATTTAACACCATTATAAAGAGATTTAGCTGTCAAAGAGTTTAAAAAGCACAAAGAAAGTCAAGAGGGCTGAATGCATTGGTGTGTACCTTCCAGCTTCCTGCGGCCAGGTTCTGCAGTGCCCCGGCTGCTCCCTCCAGCGTGTCGGGATTAGAGCACTCTGACAGTAAGGTGAGGTAGGGCTTCACGATGGTGGGGTGCCACAGCATCTGGACGCCTTTAGGGGGCTCAAGAGTGTCTGGAAAAGGGCCCACGCCGTCCCACTATCACCAAAGAGACACAGCAAAGGATGGATTTTATTTCTCATGCATTATTTCAGATGGAGCAGGGGTGTCAAGACCATGTTTAGTGCCCCCTGAAATGATTTTCTAATTGTATTGACAATTGTATTGAAGGTTAGTATGGGTTAGTTTGTAGTATATAATATATATATTAATAATTGTAATCGTTTATAATTATTCTGTGGCCATTTAAAAAATGTGTCTACTGTTATACCTTATTTTACAGAAAATATTTACATAAAAATAATCAAATAAATAAAAATTAGGATTAAAGTTAAGGGTATTTGGTTCTTCGATATCAGACAATACTATTGTTTTTCAAAGTACCTCCCTAAATCCAAACAATGAAATAAAAAATGAAATAAAAAAACTCTGATTTGAAAAATTAGCATTAAACAAACTGTTAAATATACATTTATACTTCCAGGCCCTGTGTAAGCTCTTTGTTGTCTTTTTCGACCCTGGACCAAAATGAATTTGATCCATGAGAGGCTTGTCTCCATGATGTTCTACCTGGAAGGTCTCACTGTGGCAGACAAGGGGGTTACTGGTCGGCTCTGTGTGAAGGTGCATCAGCTCACAGTCAGAGTGATGTTTTCTGATGTTTTCATAGAAGTCAGTTGTTGCTCATCTGAGATGAAAACAAGGGTTTCCTGATTTATTTTTTTATGGGGTAGAGACTACACATTAGACTATACCAGCATTCACCTTCTGAGGCAGGCACATCTTTTGTTAAAATAATTATATGTTTACCCATAGACAATTACACCTATCTTTTATTTCTAGCCGTATGCTCTAAGTTAAAATATGAATACTAGAAAGGAGACATAATTCATGGACAGTGTGCTGTATAATTATGTGAGAAAGGCTGCACAAGTGAATGAAGTCTGTGCTTCCAAACAGAACACCCTGACTTATTAAAAAGTCAAAAGGACTGAAGCATTTAGCAGGTAAATCACTGGCTGTACTGTACCCCTTAGTACTTAACTTGGAGTGTCGGAGGTGAGGCTCTAACTGTTTGAACAGACACATTTTTATATTGCTCTGAGGTGAACATCTAAAGCTCGCTGCCGCCCTCCCTCCCTCTGAATCTGTCGCCTCCTCTGCAACAAAGAAGCAGATTTTAATGTACCTATATATGAATGAGAACATACACTTCAGCCGCCATTGTATATTGTCCATCTATTATTCCTTCATAATAGACACTGCTTAAATAAATAAATTGCTGCTAACAATGTCAATGCTGATTGGCCTGATCCCTTCAGAATAGCCTATAACAAGCAGCTGCTTTTCACATTGAAATTTACTACTTAATTTAGACATGTTTAACCCTTGTTTTGCAACCTACAATCACAGGTGTGGGCGGGGCTTAAAGTGATAGTCTGTAACTCTAAATTAATCACAAATTTTAGGAAATGTGTTAAATTGACCTCCTGGCCTTAAATATTGATATAAAATAAGTCATTTTATTAATTCTAATATTACGGGCAAGTCCCGCCTTCTCTTCTCTTAGCTATAGTTCAGAATCCACGGTGCCGTTCACGTTAACCAATCGAGTCATGCCCAGGGCTGTCAATCATCGGCGCATGCTCAGTTGTTTGTTTTCGCGGAGCCTCTGAATCAAGCCTCCATTTGGCTCTGGAACTACATGAAAACTGAACAAAGAATTCTGAACATCCGCGCTGAGTTACTCATTAATATACTGAACCTATATCCATAATCATTTATATACTGAACCTATATCCATAATCATTTATATACTGAACCTATATCCATAATCATTTATATACTGAACCTATATTCATAATCATTTATATACTGAACCTATATTCATAATCATTTATATACTGAACCTATATCCATAATCATTTATATACTGAACCTATATCCATAATCATTTATATACTGAACCTATATCCATAATCATTTATACACTGAACCTATATCCATAATCATTTATACACTGAACCTATATCCATAATCATTTATATACTGAACCTATATCCATAATCATTTATATACTGAACCTATATCCATAATCATTTATATACTGAACCTATATTCATAATCATTTATATACTGAACCTATATCCATAATCATTTATATACTGAACCTATATCCATAATCATTTATATACTGAACCTATATCCATAATCATTTATATACTGAACCTATATCCATAATCATTTATATACTGAACCTATATCCATAATCATTTATATACTGAACCTATATCCATAATCATTTATATACTGAACCTATATCCATATTCATTTATATACTGAACCTATATCCATAATAATTTATATACTGAACCTATATCCATAATAATTTATATACTGAACCTATATTCATAATCATTTATATACTGAACCTATATCCATATTCATTTATATACTGAACCTATATCCATAATCATTTATATACTGAACCTATATCATAATCAGATCCTCTGCAGATGTGTCCTATAATGTGCAATTCATGATAATAGCACTTCCGGGTTTGCCGCGATTGCTTTTTTGTGCATAAAAACATTATTTTTTTCATTAAAACGTTAACAAATAATTCTGAAAACCTCCGTGCATGTGTATTAATAATGTATATGTATAATGTGTTCTCTGATTAACATTTAAAAGTGTTACGGAAACGTAGGTGTAGACCAATCAGAAAGGAAGGGGGCGGGAGCTTGCGTTGTTTTTTTCAAATCAAGCACTTCTCTGTCTTTCTTTCTGACAAACTCCAGACAATCACTTTAACTGGAGGTAATTAACATGAAGGTTTGTGGTTTTATGAAAGTGACACGTTTTTAATGACGCAAAAATAAAATAAACTTTAGCATAGAAAAGAATCAAGTGAAAATCTCTAGCTTTAGCGTAATAAGGGAACAAATCTAAAATCTGCAATTTAAGCATATTGAAGAAGCAAGTCCAAAATATCAAACTTTAGACAAATAATGAAGAACGCATAAAATACTGTATATTCTAGTGCAAGACATATGTAGTCGTATACATCTGAACATGTTATTTCAGTGCCACAGAGCTCTTATGTCATCATCATTACCTAAATAATACATTTCTGAATGTAATGTCTGGAGCTGAGTATAAACAGTGTGAATAAAAAGAAAATCTATGCAATCGTTAGTCCTTACAAATTATTAATTATGGTGATACTATTGTAAAAGTTCTGCAGCTTTTATGCATGCATGGGAACTGTAATTGCTCGCAACATAAGCATTGATACTCTGGAATAAAAATACACATCCAATCACTTTGTATGATCTGGAAAGTGAGATTATTATATTATATTATGGACTCAAGTAGACTTCACCCAAACATTGAGCGATTCCAAAAATAGAAAGAGCAACAATAAAGTGAATATTTGACTTCTAATCTTTTTGTACTCTTAAAGCCCTCATGCTCAATTGATTTCATTTCTTTCCATATTTTAATTCCATGATGTAAAATACAGTGCGTGCGTAATTCCAGGCCTGAATCTGCTTCCTGCCCTAACGTCATGATCACAAGTTCTTTGTACAGAAACAAATATTCTGGCATTGGCTCATCACAGTGCATCTCCCAAGACTCGCTCTAGTCTCGTTTACCTTGAGACCGGCTGAAGGGAAAGAGCAGCCGAGCGAAACCGGTGAGGTCAGCGGGGACTGGGGAGGGGTTGGGCAGAGGAAAGCATGGAAACAAGTAAACAAGGCTTGAGCAAGAAGAGGGAGGAATACAGAGACGATCAACAGCAGCGGGAAGTGGGACGAGATAGAAATGACAAATAGGAAGGAGCTGAGGAGAAAGGGGAAAGCGCAAAAGGTATGTCCGCGATGGGGTTTAAAAAAATAAATCTTCCAGTCTTCTAGAAAATGTGAGACAGTTTCATCCGTCAGCTTAATCTCGTACATTTGCACATTTGTCACAGTAGGCAGCAAAGAAATGTTTTTCAAAATGCGCTTGAAAGCTCTCACCTGCTCGGCTCCCTTCTTTTTCTTCTTCTTCTTGCCCCAGCAACCAGAGCTCTCTCCATCTCTTCCATTGACGTCACACAGCAACCCGTCTAGGTCCTCTATCACCCCCTGTTGTCCGTGGGAGGTTTCAGCGGCCAGCCGGTAGGATAGGTTTCTTAGGATGCAAACGCAGTTCTCTACAGTCTACACAAAAGAACAAAACAACTTGATTTAACAACAAGTATGAAACATAAGAAATGCACTCCTGGTGGTAATAAAGTTAGAATTTTAGTTAGCTATGACTTTGAAACGAGATTACAAGAAACTCTGCTAAATGAGGAAAAATGACAGAGACCAATATATTGTATCACAGTCCATTAAACAACCAGTTTATGGGCACACCCGGCGGCAGTGAAACGTGCTAGACAGATTACAACAATCAATGGCGTCTATGCTAGGTGTGTGTTTCTGTACAATGTGGGAAGTCGTCAAGTGGAAATTAACAAAGACAAATCATCCATCTTCTCCCCGTCTGACCGATAGTTTTCTCAAAAATAACTAAGCAGCGTAATTGGAGGGCCCTGGGAGCGGCAACAAACAAAGCAATGTGCCACTTCAATGAGCTGCAGTCAGAAATCCGCTCAAATCTCATTACGGATAAACCAGAAATTGTTATGCATTATTTACAATATTCAGTGGCACTTTGAAATTAGACTCTTGAATTGTTGTGCTCGTGTATCTATAGTCAATAAAGCAAGTCTGAAGTTGAATATTGAATAGGCGGCATCACTGGGCCAAGTTACATCAGATAACTGGGGAAGAAGTCAATATATCTTTGTGCATTTGTAATTGAACAAATTCAAAACAGATCATTGTAATGTTGTCTAATAATATGTCTGTGGTGAAGAGCTGAACAGAGTCTTGACAAGGAGGTTATGCACTAAACAATATTGTCATAGTTGGGAATGACCTACTTCACATGACCCATTATGGACAGATTTTTGCTTTCCTAATTGCCTCGCCCCTACTTCTCACAGAATGATATAAAGAGGAAATAATGAAGAAATTCTGCAAATCTAATTTGCATTGAAACGACTTCCTAACCAGCTTGAGCAGGCAGCTAAAGTGAATTGTTGGTGCTACAATGACCACTTGCTGGAGAAGCTGCCGATCATTCTTTGTTACTGTGTTTGCGACTGGCGTGCTGCTCTGGTGAGTGTGGTCAGCCAGCAAGTGTGCCAGCCGCTTAAACAGTGATTAGGGGTGTCCATTTAGAAAGGCTGAGAGACGCAGAGACCTTGAGAAGTCAGCCATCCAAGACCCTGTTTATGTACTATTGACTGTGTTGTGACTTGTCGCCTGCCGTACTAGAGGACAAGAATGATTCAGTTTCTCGCTGCAAATGATATGTTCTTGATTTTTTGTTCATCCATCTCTAGAGACTCGACATCAAGCGACAACAATGCATTCTAGACTCTCAGAGACACTTCACTGCCATTATTCATTCAGTTAATACACTGTGGTGGTATAGCCACAGCTGCCCTGGGGTAGACTGGCAGAAGCGCGGCTGCCAATCTGAGCCATTGGCCCCTCTGACCATCACCAAATATTCACTCACACATCAGACTTACACTGGACAATGTGGGGATGGAACACTTCACTTTCCATCCTGTGGTTCCACCTGGTATTCCCAGCAGTGATACCACATGTCACTGCTTCGCCCTGAGGTCTCAGCTGAGCTTTTGAGATCACACTTTCATACACACACACACACACACACACACACACACACACACACATGGACACAGACTATAGACGTGGAAGCTTTGGAATGACTTGTTGTCTTCACTTGCACCTGACTTCAGGTCAGTTTATTCCTTAAGTAGACTTGATTTGATACTAATGGAAATGGCAGAGATTATTAGCCTTACTTATTGAGTCTTCCCCAGAGTGGCTGTGATTAAAGTAGGTGGTTTATCACCACCGTGTATGGGATGAATGAATAATGTGAAGCGTCTTTGAGTGATCAGAAATGTGCTATATGAAACTGTTTAACTATTTTCAGGATTAGACCACGTTCCGATCTTGGCAGAAGTATTAGCCCAAACAAATTTTAAACAAAATGCAGTAACAAGATACAAAAACAAACCAAACAAACACAACTTTTTTATAAAGTGATAATAATCTAATAAAACCAAAAAAGTACAATCTAAGATCAAACGTTTCTACTTTTTCATTTAATTGTTAGATTAGTTTTCTTACATGTCAGTGTAATTTCATAAACGCTTGAGTATTGTTTGGAGATTCTGGCTTAGTCACGGCTCTTATGCTATTCTCAGTCTTGCACAGACCTTGCTGTCGATCTCGTTGCTGCCCAGAGAGGTCTGTATGACGTATAGCAGAGCATCTGTCAGCCCGTCGCACTCCCTCATCCTCCGCCGCGCCTCTTCTCCAGCCGAGCTTACATTCCTGCAACAAACAAGAGCACAGAAGAGAAAAAAACTGTGGTTACTCGGCAAGTGTTGGTTGTATTTGCCAGCAGAAAGGATAGAAAAACAAATAGGGAGAGGCAAGATGACACAGCAGGGAGGAATGGGAGAGTAAGAGACAGGGAAAAGCTGGCAGCGCTCCTACAATAAACAATTGAAACGGGAGCATTAAAATTCTGGATGCATCTCAATCTATGCCCTAAAGACTCACTTCAATTTAAGGCACTTGACTTTCGTCCAAGAGAAGAAAAAAAATCTCTCTTTAGTGAGACAGTTGGTGCCTAAACTTCACAGCCAATGCTCTCAGAGAAGCTGCTTTGATAATTTGACAATATTGTTCCATTTATTATAGAGAGGATTTGCCAGTTTGCGGCTTTGAAAGAATTAATAGGATTTTAATTGAACTGGAGGTACAGGTGGGTGGCGTTGGGAGGGATTTTGTTTTTTTAGGCTAAACCATGAATCTGTCAGCGCACCAGACGTGAAATCAAAAGCCATTTTTAACAATTCATCCACATCCATTGCATTGTCTACCCCCACAAATGATCTAGCACAATGATTACAGCTTAATTAGGGCCCATGGAAACAGGAGTAACCAGGATGTGCGTATTTAACATCTGGGAAGTGTGAGTTGAGGTCAATGTGAATGACCAGTCATCTGAAAACCATTAGCCAAATGAAAATGAAAATATGATTGTAACAAAGTAAATTAAGCTGTTAATAAATACTTAACAACATAAATTATGACAGTTAGAGGCTCTGTGGTTGGAGAACTTAAATCCAATGGCTGCTGGTTTAATACTCAGCATGACACAATACACAAAAATACAGTTGAAGCCTAAAAAACTTCCTGTTTTGGGGAAAGTACTGAGGCAGGGGCAGACAGCATTTAACTTTACTTTGTCATTCAACATTCATAATGATTTGCTTAAAGAAGTACTTTCTGGCTGTGACTCCCAAAGTTTAATTTATTTTAATTAATTAGTTTATTAGACAGGGACATCGTGCATTAATAAGCATTTCTGTAACTGCACCATAATTTGCCAAGTACGCTATTTTCAATCTTCAGTCCATGATTTTGATATTTGTTGTTTTAAATTTGTGCAAGTATCATTTTCAAGCCCTCAACCTGATCCTGTCCACTTGTTCCCCAAATTGCTGAAATCACAAATGCTCAACCACTATTAATTCTCTCAAATATTCAGCACGAAAAGTACCGTTGTGGTCATGTGGATTTGAGCAAAAAATAGAAGTATCAGTAAATAAGTTTTTTTTCTTTTTGGTTTCCAAAACTTCTAAGCGACATATGCTTGCACACTCTGCTAAGCTTCGGGCACACCACAGACAGATCGGTCTAATTGCCAAAGTGAAGATAGGTTTAAGCAGCTTTCCTAATGGGTGAAATGTCAAATAAAAACAGATGAGGGAGACAATAGAGGTGCGGATGGTCTTAAACGAAAAAAAAAAAAAGACATTTCATTTATTATCAGACTGGTATAAAAAAGAGATGGCAGCTGTTCCCCTGCCTGTGCATTGAGGTCAATCATTTATTGTACTGATGAGAAAAAAGGGAAAAGGCGACTGAAAGGAAGACACAAGTCCTCAATTAAAACTTTGCGTTCACGGCTCCTCGCGTCTAAGAGAAGGTCAAGTCATTTTTTCCCACTTAGAATGCTAATGTGCAAACAAGCTACACAGAAGAGCTCGAGCTACGGACGGGATTCTCTGTCAGGCCCATGCCAAACACAGCTGTGAGAATACTTCACCTTGACTAATGTTTAAACACTGCAGACAGGAGGCCGCACGGATGAGAAATACAGCATGGAGATTATTTATTACTTTAAAAATGTAGCCTTGAACATCAACACCGGTTTTATATCTGCTGCGTGATCATGCGTGAAGGTACTTGACGTTAAATGCTCGCCGAATAACACTAACGCACAATTCCCAAAACAGAAACCATGATAAAAGAGCGCTCACACTTTCTGATCTCTACTTGATGTGTCTATAGGAGGATTATTGATGTTCAATGCAAGCTTTGTATAAGAAAAGTAGATTAAGTTGTTGAAACTTGGAGTGATTGCAGAGTCTTTTCACTCCCAAACTGGAGATTTGAAGTGGGTGGAGCTACGGCAGGTTCAAACAGTACATTTCCCTATTCCAAATTCCAATAGTATTCGTTATACATGATTAAAAAGTGTTCTTCAGGACTCAAGAGTGAGCCAAGGAGTAATGATCTCACAATTAAGCATGACCCAGAGAGAATTGTGGCTTTTAATTGTGCTTTTTGGAATTATCAGAAAATAAGAAAAGGTATTGCAGTAAAAATATTGCTTCAAAGCCTTCGTTGCTTCTTCAAACATTTGATAATTCGATTTTTTGTGTGGGGAATTTTCCTTCCAGAACTTGCAAGCTCAGCCCACGTTGCAGAATATTTTTGTTCAAGATAGTCTACTCAAAGACAACACCGTGGAAAGCAGAGGCACATCATTAGAAAAAAAAGTTAATTTATGGCCATGCAATTTAATCTGCGTACTTCTAATAGTGAAAAAAAAAATCTCTGCTCTGTATGAGTTCTATCTGGTATCAAAAGTGTGCGGCGTGTAGGAGGTGTAAAATAGCACTTAAGCGGTGTCTTATCCTCAAACATCACTCAAGGTCTATACGCCTGAACGGCACGACTCTTGCTGAAATTATTCTTCAGCAATTTGATTAAAATATTGTCACATTTATCCTTACTTTTCCAATATAATCTTTCTGTTGCAGTGGTATTTTGTGCGTACACCGTGGGCTTGTCAGTGCTTAATAGCCTGTATCCATCTGGGCTAAACTGTCCTGGAAAGTCCTGTAGCAGAGCGAGTCCCTGGTGCATTGAGGAAGTACCCAGTGTGTGTGGCGCTGACAGCACTGAGCCACACATGAACTGTCTCGTCTTTCTCTAATGAAGCAGGAGGAAATGTCCCCCTTTGAGAAACATGCCTTCGCTGGTGTGCTGCTGACCAAACCACACTGAAAGTCCACAATTAAAATGCAGAGAATCAACTGAGGGTGATACAGTATATTACTTGTAAAGACTATTAAAGGAGGGTATTATGCTTAAAACAGGGATACCAGGCTTGGTGTTTTCCATGGAAGTAGATATTGTATTGGGGAGAGGTGTAGAATCAGAGAGTACTTGGGCCTGTGTCTTGTCTGTGTGCGTGTGTGCGTGTGTGTGTGTGTGTGTGTGTGTGTGTGTGTGTGTGTGTGTGTGTGTGTGTGTGTGTGTGTGTGTGTGTGTGTGTGTGTGTGTGTGTGTGTGTGTGTAATGATCCAAATAAGCGGCTGCGCCATCCACCCCCTTTTTCAAATTGTGAATATTGCTGATTTTGTACCCAGTTCATCAAATTTGAATGTTTGTAACATTGTGAGCAAATGAAATAACGATTCAAGTATTTAATTGTAAAACATTTTTATCCAAATGTTTTCTTATTAACATGAGTGTTGCCCTTTATTAAGCGTGTGTGATGCAAGGTCCCACATTGAAACACAAAGGCCATGAAGGGCTGATAGAGAGGCCACAGACTGATAATCACATTTACCCCTGGGCCATAGTTTGGACATGTCAGCTCAAACTGATTTGACTTTAAGTTTTACTCTAAGCTATTACTTTCTGAGACAGCATTCAATTACCCATGAGCATTGTACATGCCGTTTAGCATAATGTGACCTTATATTCACTCTTACTATTTAACAGGTCCATTACAATCTCAGACACTAATTCTCATTCTGATGCCATTCTTCAGTAATTCGGTCTAACTCATTAGCCTGCATCATTAAATAATTAGCCAGTGAGACAAAGGCACAAACTTGATTAAGCTTCACTTTAAGAAACTCGCAGTACTTATTGTAGCTGCAGGTTGGAAAGTGAAAAGTACCTTTGTTGAAAAAGTGCATTGATTAGAGCAGAAAAGGTGTTTTATTGCTTTAAAAACACACAAGGCAATATTATTCAAAATAATATTTTATTTAAGGACATCTGAGCGTTAGAATTGAAGTAGTAGAGGTGCGCTTGCCACTGAATGTATCAGGATCAAATGAAAAGTAAAAGAGTAGAGAGACCAAATGGCTTTGAAAGACACAAATGCACCATTTTGAGCGGCGCCGTCAGATCTACACCAATGATCACCTATAAATCTTGTCCATGCTTCAAGTGGGGAAGAGTGGTCTCGACATGAGGAGGTTTGGGACAGCTGGCCCTGATGCCGCATAAGGAACAAATGGCCACAGCGCCACTCTTCAGCAGCTGGTCTGTGTGTGTGTGTGTGTGTGTGTGTGTGCGTGTGCGTGTGCGTGTGCGTGTGCCTGTGTGTGTGCCTGTGTGGAAGAGAAGGTGCCTTTATTGCCTGCATTCCCATTGGACAGCATATGGGTCCTTCAGCATCATTAGCTGCTTGGCCCACATTTTCTTTGGGCCACACATAGACACTCTATCAGAGGCGAGAGCTGCGCATTTACAAGGCCATAATGAAAACACCTGATGCCCTGACACCAGTTCATTCCTATTATCACGTGCAAATCCCTAATGGTAGCATTTCACACAATTCAGGCACAATTCACATGACAGTGGGCAAAGATAATTCATAAAAAGGCATGCGCACACTCCCTGGTAACAAGGGTGCAGGAAAACTAAGTCAGGGCACATCATTCAATAAGCAGCACATTATAGTAGAGTACTTGCATCAAGGGAATGAGTTTTTAAGTAACTAAGTCTCTACAATCTGAGAGGTTTGCTTCAGTTGGAAAAAGAAAACTCCAGAACCAACATTAAAAACAGATGTGTGTCTGTCACCGGAGAAAAAATGTGGAATAATTTTAATCGGCTTAACTTATTTAAAACTACCTTAAATATAATTAAAACTACCTTAAATATAATTAAAACTACCTTAAATAATTTTAATCGGCTTAACTTATTTAAAACTAACTTAAAATGTTAAATAGGTAATTCATATACTTTGCCTTAAAAACAATAATAATAATAATACAATGAAAATGAAATCATCCATCCATCTTTTTCCCCTTAATCCATTTCTGGGTTGGGGGGGTGGCAGTCAGAGCTGAACCCAGTACACTTAGCACCAGCCCCTCACTGATCCTCCTGCAGGTGGTGAGTCCACAGGAGCTGAGATCTTTCAGTTGGGGCTTAGGGCAAAGTAGGGTTAAGAGTCTTGCCCAAGGACACAACGTCATCAGTGGGAGTCGTGAAGTAGGTCTTACGGTGGGCTCGAACCCACGACCTTCAGCCCCAAAGGCCAATGCTCTACCAACTGAGCTACTGTCGCCCTAAAAAAAAATGAAATCAGAAACAAGTGTTTTATTTCATTTTTCAAGTTATTGTCCTGAATGTGACGTGATGTCAGGGTAAGCTTACAGGATGGGCTGTTATTAATCAAACAATTGACAAAAATAAATTATTTCATTCATTCATATTTGATGTATATTCAAAATTGAATTAAAAGTAACAATCATTGGTCATTGATAAGTTTTAAGTCTTTCGGTCTTACTTATATGATATATTAATCTATGTTTAGTCCCAAATTGGTTTCAATTTGTATGATTCTCTGATGCTTTCTTCTTTTATATGTGGTTTGGGCGTGGAGGATGACTGAAGCGAAATGTGAAATCAGAACAGTGTCAAATGTATTGAAATTCCATAAAAATGTTCACAGTATTACAGTGTTTATTTGTTTATATGTTTTAACCAGTGTCCCAACATCACCCAGAAACAAAAGCGATGGGCTCGATAGAGAAGCACGGACACCTTCATTACTCTTTGACTCACCGCTGAGATCTCGTTAGCCACTGATTCCCATTGTTCACCATCTCCAACTCTTCTAATCTTTTTCCAACTTCTCCACCAGCCTCACTTCTGCGGTAGGATCTTTAGCTTTGCCGTGTGGAGCAGTGTGCTGACAGCATCATTTGTCTTGCCACACACGCTGGAGGTCGACACATACTCTTTCACTAAAGTCCTATAAACTACTCAGTGAATCACAAAAGCTTGACACAAACATTGGAACACCAGAGTGGTAGCAAAATACTGGGGGATAAAAGTTGCATTGAATGGACACGATACTAACTACTTTTCTAAAATATGAACTATCCAATTTGGTTTTGCTTGAAATGTATGTATTGCATGTGATGTCCAATCTCATCAGGCCTTAGATGCTAAGAAGGGCAGTGCCTGGTAAGTACAGTGATGGGAGTACAACAGGCCCCGGAGTGGGTTGGCTGCATGCTGTACTGTTGTTGTGTTTACTGTCAGGGATTTTCTCTGCTTTTTTGTCCGAGCTGAGAAAAGACATTCAAAAGAAGGACCAGGGGAGAGCAGAGCACCAGGCATAACAGGAGGATGGACAGACTGCTGGCCACCATCTCGTAAAAAACGAGCCACCCCTGGGCACTCAAGCTGGGACATTTTGTGCTTGGAGGTTCCCTGACTCTGGAATTTGTGGATTTAGGCAATCACTGCCTCTGCAAACACACAAGACTGAATTACATTGAACTCCAACGCCACAAAAGCCTCTTCAGACTGCAACTAAAGACCTTAAATGCACATGGTAGTAATTGAGGAAAGAAAGGGGAGGTGACTTTTAATCAAGAAACTGTTGCTGGTTGATTGAAAGGGGAAAGACAAGAGTGGACAAGGACATCTATATTCTTTATGTTTTTTAACTGTTGATTCTCTAATCTGTGTTGGTGATTTCAAAGGTTTTGTTAAGTCCTCTGAGATGACTTCTGTTGTGATTTAGGGCTATGCAAGAATAAATTGTATTGTATTGTATCTCACCATCTGAGGTCTGTTATGTCAGTGACTGTGAATGTCATTTCCTGTTATTGGGGTCTACAATAAGCATTTTATGTATTTATCCCATTTTTTTTAACTTTCCCATTCACTATCTCATTTTATGCACTTTCCAAAAGAGGATCCACCTGCTTGCCTCGATTAGGATGGTTTTGTCCGTCCATCCTTTGTCCTCCTCTTTATCCAGGTTACAGAGGGAGCAGTACGAGCAGAGACACCCACTATTCACACACTTCCTGCAGCTCATCCCGGGGAATCCTCTGCCAGCTCATGTGTGTATATCCTTGGTCTTCCCTGTGGGCTTATCTCACAGAGAGGCCTCAGGGAAACACCTGGAACATATCCCCGAGCCCCTTCAGCTGGTTCCTCGTGGCGTGGTGGAGCAGTGGCGCTACTTCGAGTTCCTCACTTTATCTCTAATGGATCATATGTTGCAGCGGGTTTACATGCAAAGTCAATGGTGACGTATGTCGCGACTCAACAATTTTAGTGAAGGCAAGTAGGTAAGTAATCTTTGTCTTTATTTTGATGTGCGCCCAAGGTGCAATAACGCTGCGATCTTGTCCTCTCTGCCATTATCCAGTGCTTACGACCATAAGTGAGGAACACAAATGAACTGCTTTGACCAAATTGCATGGCGTGTGTCTACGGATGCAGTTCACAATAATAATACTAATACAATAACACCGGTGGTCTAGCGGTTTAAGCTGCGCGCTTATGATGCAGGAACCCGGGTTCGATCCCGGACTATGTCTTTTTGTATTTATTGCATGTTATCACATTCTATGACAGATTGCTCTAAAAACGGTAAAAGATGAAGGTCAAGACGTTTTTTTGCAGATTATAGCTTAATTGTAAAAATAATCATTTAAGACCACATGTACCCCAATTAAAATAATGTTAGTCTCTTTTTGATGTGGGACTTTTACATGTTTGTCTAAAAAATAGAGAATAAATAAAATTGAAAGGTGATATCCTCTTGAGCAAACCCTGATGTTGATACGCTGAAGAAATACGTTGCAACATCCATGCTTCCCACTCCTATTTTGGACATCAATTTCTTATTTATTTTGCATAAACTATGTATAATTACATTGCTTTTATTTTGTTTTTGTTTTTTATCTCAAATGTCCAAATTATAATAATAAAAAAACATGAATCAAAACATTCATTCAGCATTAGCACGGCTGTCATGGCATGTGAATGGAGACGGACAAACAACTGATAAAATAATTCCCTGTGTTTGCTGCTGGATTTGGTGTGAATCTGGCAACCTGAGTCAGGGAGAGTGGGAGAGGACTACAAAATATTGACTGTGACTGCAGTACCACTTTTGGCCAGATTTTTACATATTGCTCCTTTAAGAAAGTGGAAATTCAGCAACAAAATTCAACAACTGAAAGGTCAAGAATTCTACCCAAGCTAACCTCTGCATACTATCTCGGTATATTTGGGCATGACTCAGTACTAAATCAATCCATCATTAGGATTAGTAGTAGTTGTGGCCTTTCACACATTTTACTTTGATAATAAAGCCATTCTTATCATTCTTTATTTAAAAAAAACACATCCATTTGCAGCCGATCAAAATGTTCCCACAGTCTACACAGCTGTTACTTCATCAAGTCTGGTTTTAACAACTGTGAACACATATAATGCACCAGCGATGCACCAACTCGAAAGTCTTGACGCCCAAAGGACCTGCACGAGTGGAGGAGTTGTTGCTATGGTTACCGCCCGGAGTTGAGAAAGGGGAGAGACGGAGAAACAACAAAGCAATAAATTGTCATTGAAAATGTGCATATATAATTAGGTAGGTTCCCTGAACAGTGTGTACGTCACAGACGTGGAAAGAACAAGTGTAATATACAAAATACCGCAATTAAGTTGAACTTATTTTGTCAGTTGAACATGGAATACCAAATGCCAGTCCAGCAGCAGATAAAAATGAATACATCTGGCAAAATGTGAAAAGATTAATTGGCTCATATTGATTGGCGCTGATTCCCCAAGTATTAAACTACCACACATTTAAACCCAACCTCAAAAGTGTAATAACATTATATAATCCATCTAACTTTTCACACGCATTTATATTTTGCCTCTGTCACGTTTTTAAATCAGATTTCTCAGACAAAAAGACTGGACCACCCTCACTCAGCCAATCAGTTCTCAGCCCAAAGAGTCAAATAGTGACTGACAGGGATCTATCTTACAAGAACGCAAAAGATTCATCATAAGATAAAGACGACACAATGTGATCTAGTGTGCTAATTGTTTCTTCTTTTACAAGACTCTTTCTGTTAGGACAAACAACATGTATTATTTATGAAGAACAAAAGTAAGGTACCCCATTTTCAGGAACAGTATGTAAGAATAATTTCCACCTCTTGCTACAACTGCCTCCACAGAAACCAGCCAACTCTGAATTCAATAGAGCATGCAAAGTTATGCATATTGCTACGCTAATGTTTCCCAGCAGAAAATCAACAGCGTGACATGATCGATAATGCTGTATATTGTATGAGTAAGGGATAACAAACAAGGGGAAACACATTGGCAAGCACGGAGTAATGATTTGATCCTGATAGATAAATACATCTTAGTTAACAACATCAGCAGATTAGTTTTCTAGATGACTTTTGCGCACGTACCTGAGGCAGCCTGTTGCATTGCGCAGCACCTGGGACGTGTGGAGGTGGAGCTTGCGGTCCTCGTGGTGATTGGGAGAGGAGTCCCAGTTGGAGTGGGGGATGATGACACTGTTGGTCAGAACGGCCAGGGCGTCTTGGATGATTGGCATCTTCAGAGCATCACATGACGAAAGGTTCCACAAGACCCCTGAAAAGGAAGGTAACGGTGGTTACAGCAGAAAAGGAAATAAAGTCGTTGTTTCCCAGTTGAATCGACTCAAACCATGTTGTAGTTGTAGCATACCCACAATCTTGTCCCAAATATTTTTAGCAATATTCAATAACCACATTTAATTCATTAATGTCCGACACAAACCAGGCCCATCTTTAAATAAAATAAAGCTGGGGTACTTAACTTTCAAATCACAGCAAAAAGAGAAATAATGTATATTGTAATAACATTTGCCAATTATTTACACACTCTCAAAAAATGTATTGTTCTATCACTATTTTTCACATTTTTGCCAGTTTTTGGTATTTTTGGCCTATGTCATATCTTTAGATCAGCCTTTTCAGAGAGAAAAGTGAAAAAGAGAGGACCACCCCCACTCAGCCAATCAGCTCTCAGCCCAAAGAGTCACTCTCAGGGTTGTTTTTTTTAAAGTATGCACAATATGCCATATAGTTAGTATGCTGTGGTCTGATTCTAACACAACATAGCACTTGTAATTAGCTTATGATACTCACATTTTTAATTCATAGTATTTTCTCTTATATATATATATATATAAAAAAAAAAAAAACGCCCACACCGAGGCTACTATTTTTGCCGTATGCTACAACAATAAAAAAAAAATAGTTTTATTCTTTCCTCATCACTGTTTCTCCACATATCCTCTATATATTGAGATAATTCACAGATACACATATTATTGCATCATCTCCAACCACACAGCAGAATTACATCGTGTTGGCCATGAGCAATAATAGGGCTTTCACTGATCAGATGGAAAAACAGATGCTTCTATAAAGATGAGTGACAGATCTGGCCCTGTTGGTCAGCGATGACACATTCACAGCTCCACCTGCAGACCACGAGCATCTCCAATGTTAATAAGCCTTCTGTTACAACTCGCTCTAGTCAGACAATGCAAAACATATGTAACAGACAGTGACAGCCATAGGAGACATGCAAATACTGCACTAATGAAAGCAGATGTGTGGAATCCAGAAGACAGACCAAAACAGATTGAGATGCGAGAAGAGACATTTGTTACAACTATAGATATCCGCCGTGGTGAAGGTCAGTGTGGAGTCAGGAGGCAGATGCAGCACGTCCTATGATGTATGTCTTTCATGTGCACAGATAACATAGAGATCAAACACACGGGACATGCTCAGAGGGGGCGCGCTGAGATGTTCTCATTTTCACAAATAAGAAGAATCAGACAAATGACAGACGTTCACATCACACATCTAAACACATTAGGTCTGAGTAAGACAAAACTACAATATATTTTCTGCTCGTACAAATTATGCCTTTTTTCTGGATGGGGTTCTTTGTTATTGAGGTGGGATATTTTCACGCTGCAGACCTGTGTTTTTGTAGAAATTATATGTCGACCCAGGACAACAGTGGGAAAGGATGGCGTGTTTGGACCTGTGTCGGCTTTTTGTGACAGGAAGACAGGGAGAGGCCAAAGTCAAAAACAAACTAATATAGCAGTGCACCAGAGAATGACAAAATGGACTATAACAAGCTTAACCGCCACATTGAGAAATACAAACATTTTCAAAAATTTTTTTACAATGAAAAATTCTAATGAAAAGTGCAGCAAGTCCAAAAGCCCAAACGTTGATGGTAAAAGCTTATTGTTACATGGCTTGTTACACTGTCATCATCCAAAGTACTGTCTCTCATGTGATTTCTGTGTATAGTCCTTCATTGGACCCATATTTAAGCAACAGGATATAAAACATTTGGAGTTTTTTCTGCCTATTTGCCACTTTATTTGGTTGGAGCATTCACACGGAAAGACTATCTTCCTCAGTGTGTAAGGAAGAGGCAACAAACCAGTGTTTTTGTCCAGTGGGACTAAAGCTAATCTTTAAAAACCCTCATCCTTACAGATTATCATCAATCATAATAAGACATGATAATGCCACTTAAAAGTAGCAAATTGCACCATTGATATCCAAACATCACTCTACTTTATTATCAGCTTTTCTTTTCTTCTCACTGCATACAGCTGTAACAGGGTCCACATCTTGATTAACAGCCAGTTTTGCTAGCAGCAAAGTTAGTGTTGTCTCAAAATGTTCTGCACTGCCACTCATAATGACACTGTGCAGATGACAGACAAGTGTGGGAGGAATATGAGAGCAATATTATGAGGAAGAATTTAAATGCACCCTACCAAAAAATAGCATACAATAATAAAATGGGAAGGCATAAAGTTGTACGCAAAAACAAAAGCCAGGAGAAAAAAAGATTGTTTGAAATGTATGTTTAAATGCAGAAGGAGACAGAATCAGTGGGTGCTAATGTGTGAGCGAGAGTGGCGCACGAGGGGACAAGACGAGGTGGGTGATAATAAGCCGATGACCTTGTATTCTGTTTGGCACCAGTGAAGTGTCAGCACTCAGCCTCTAAGCGTGTGTGTGTGTGTGTGTGTGTGTGTGCGCGCGTGTGTGTGCGCGTGTCTCCGTGTGTGTGTGTGAACAGTCACTTTCACTAATCACCCTCTTCTTTCACTCAGCAAAGTTGCTTTCTTTACCACAGAAAGAGGAGCATTATAGAGGTACTTAGGTAGATAAAATAAGGTCAGGAAGAAGGGTTTGTAAAAAGCAGGCAAAAAGAACTAAAATAATGTCAATAAAAGAAATCTCCTGAGCAACATGATCCTAAATCAGCTGAGGAGATAAGCTTTAGAAGAAGGTAAATAGGCCTGAGTATGGCCCATTATCCTCACAATGTAAGGACTATATAGTACCTCAATATTCCCACTTAAACAGATGTCTTGCTGAGTCACAAACATAAGTGCGGATTCAGACTTGAGTCAATAGTTTGATGACTTAAGATTCAAAGTCACATGACATACTCACACTTCTATTCATGACATGGTTTAAAAAAAAAAGAGGGACTATAAACAAAAATATAAAAAAATGCAGAAACATCAAAGCTGAGGACTGATTGACTGGGTCTATCGTTAACATGAGCCTTGAGTCAGACTTCATGATATTAATTCCCTTTACAGGCTTGTTGAAGTCTCTCAATGTGCTTCACTATCCACAGTCAGGGGTGATGGAAGCAAGGCTGCCAATCCACATCAGCACATGATATGATATCCAAAAAATTTGATTTTGTCTTGAGACCATCAGTCTGAGCAAGTTGATCCTGTATTCATAACCCGAACATTACCCTATTATTAACCCTAAATCTAGCCCTAGTCCCAATCTTAACCAAAGTGAACATTAACCCTAAACCTGAACCAAACCAAATGACATATTGACTCTGGACTGTTGTTATCATCGGCCCATCTGACCACGCCCCTCGTTCCTTCACATAATACATTCATGATGATGAGAGATGCCAAAGCACTCAGAGGAAATCCTCAAAGACACGTGGAGAAATGTACAAACTCCACACAGAATCTGGTCAGGCTTGGGGATCGAACCTGCAACCTTCCGGCGATGAGAGATGATCCACTAAGACACCATGAAGCCAGAGGCAATTGAGGTTAAAGACTTGATACTTATACTTGAAGTACATGCACTGTATCTCATCCAGTCGCCTGCATTTGAAACTATTCTCTCTGTTTTCGAGTTGAAAATTGCAGAGCAGAGTTGTCTTGATAAAATTACATCATACGACCAGGAGGCAGTGACGTCATATTTCTCATCTTTTATATTTCCTCTTTTCTTCTTGGTCTTTTATCCCTGTCCTGTGTGCCCTCTTTGGCCGCTCCCTCCAGACTCCTGACAGACACTTTCCAAAGTGCACAGAGGTTTGGGGAAATAGGGAGATGATTGCATGAATTCATGAATTAATGAGAGTATGACTTGTAAAGGGAGAGTGAGGACTGTTAGGCCCCAAGTGGCAATGTTTTATTAAACAGCCTTCATCTGTGACTCTATATTGGAATTCGTTAGCAGAGAGGTCAGAACCTGCAGAAGAGGCAAAGATGACAAATGACAAAGGTAATTCATCCTCCACAAACACAAACAAGAACGGAATCATATTTTTATGTGAAACTGTGGCTATCCTCTCATGGGTGTTTTGACTCTGGTGTCACATACATGCTTACTTCTCTGTACGTTTTGACGGTAAAAAGACTTGTCAGTTTAAAATACCACCAAGCGCTGGGAGGGAAATAGTCAGTATTTGAGGTTTCATTTCAAATGGGACCTCCCACAGAGAAAATACTGCGCACAATTTCTCCAGGACACTATCCATTTTATAACAGTGGCAGCGAGGAGACATTCATGTGGAGACATTGTGCTTGGTTCCAAATACTCTTTTAAATGTCTTGAATCTCTTTCTAATAGCAGGGTTGGACTTTTACACAACACCTTTAGTATTTGGAGAATTACACACAGAGACGTAATTCAAGGGTGACAGGATGCAACCAAACAAAACATTTTGGGGATGATTACTATAATTTTCAATGCTGATTTGTTGTGACAGACTGAAATGTGCCCACATTGAGCATGTGCAAGATAATACTTTCTCACAATTTGCAGTTAGGGTACACCATGGTCCACCGCCTCAAGGTGAGCTACATGTGAGGATAGCATCTCCTATTGACACACAAAGCCTCGACATCGACCAGTCTTTGAGTGACAGACCCGGAAGCCTTCACTTCTCTATCTACCTCACACTGAGACCTAAGGAAGCCGATGGAGCCAGGCTAAATATAAACCTCAGAAGTCACACAAAGATAGGGTAAATGGCGGAGAGGAGAGGTTTTTTCCGGTCACCCAAAGTGCTGCATGCCCTGTCTCGTTTCCAAAGATCTAAACAGATTCCGTAATCAAAAAGAATAGAAAAGTGCATTTGACGAAGGCTGACAACAAAGAGGCAGTAATGAGGAGGCTGATGTGGTGTGACTCAAGCAGTGCCATGCATTAGAGGAGAAAACAGCTGAAGTTTGATGTCACACTCACTGGAATAAACTGTCAATTCTATCACAAGGGATGATTGGTGCACATAGGTTTTTGACCATAAAACTACCACCACCACCACCACCACCACCACCACTACTACTACTACTACTACTACTACTACTACTACTACTACAGTATAAGCAAACTTAAAGGCAACTGTCCCATCTCACACTAGACTGTGTGAGCCATTCTCTTAGATGAACACACCGACCAGAACCTCTCAGACCAGAAGTTTCTTTTCCTCTTGGGCTCATGAACATTTTATATCACCTGTCACTTCATATAACTCCCTTAAACAAGACTTTCTATATCTGCATGGCTAGCTTTGCATACCTTGTTTTTATATCCAGATAGATATGAATCCAACACCTAATTTTGTGTAATAAGTATTTTAATCATAGTTTACAATGATAAAATGTGTGACCTTATTTTTGGGTAGTTAGTTATACTGCATAAAAGGCATGTAACATTACTAAATTAAATGAGCACATTTACAAACTGCTCAAACGTGCGGTACAAAAACAGGCTAAGGCATACCAATTATTAATAGAAGCAAATAAAAACAATAGCAACATGTACAGCATAGTTAAAAGCAAAGTCAAACAAGTGAGAGCTTTTCCGTTGCTAATGTTCTTGACAAAAGCGAGAAGATGAGGTACCTGAGGACTCATTATAATGTGAAACCATAAAATGTAAAACACTTCAGTAATAGTAGCAGGAGTAGAAGTGTTGGTTTCTCGGGAACGCATTGTAACAAGAACATGAATCTCGAGGAGCCATGCGTGGCAGTTTCTGATCTAGCAACAGGAGATAGTCAGACACAAAAGGGCAAAAACTAAAGCCGGAGAGAAGTTTATGAAGATCTAACTGAGAAAAAGGAGACCGAATATTATTGAGGGGGAATAGGCAGACGAAGCATTGTCTTAATTTGCAGTTATAAATAATGGTGCAGGGAAAAAACTTAAAATGTCATGTTTTTAAATTCCCTTTTGCATGTGTTTTACTGTGTGTTGTAATTTGTTGACTGCTGGTTTTAATTGTTGTCAATGGTAATCACTTTTGGTTGAAAACAGTTTTGGCTTACAAATAGAAGTACCAATGAACAAAGCAATGCAAAAACCTGTTAAGTGTACAACAAAAGAAAGCCTTTTTAAGAGTTTTACCAATAACGAGACCCAATTCACGATGATGGATAGAAAGAGATACTGTATCTTTGGACATTTTTACTTATGGCTCTCTTTATGGCCTCTATATCTGCCATCTCTCCAGCTGTCTCACCGGTGATAGCCTTGCCAACAGTTACGAGGTGTCTGTCAAATGCCAATACAAAAATACAAGATGTCCTTTCTCTGCCTGGCTCTCTCTCAATGCTCCATCTCCACTGGACTCCTGCAGCCTGTTATCAGCAGTGGAGTGGTCTTAAAAAGGCTGGGGCAAAATCCTCCCTTCTTGCTTTGGCTGTCATTGTAAGGATCTCTTGATGGCCCTATTCCATGGCAAGAGAGTGAGTGCGAAACGGTACGTGAGGTTAAAAACCAACATGAACAGATTGTAATGGGTGTGCCCAGCCCCAGACCGCCATGCATTAGATTTCAACTTACTTGTTACTTGAGAGAGTAGAAAACAAACAAATCTATTACAGAAAAGACAAAGTTGAAACTAAATTAGGAGGTTGACATACATCTCTGTCATAATAAATAATTCTGTCATTGCCACCGAAAGACACATATGCTAAATAATGCTTTTTGTTCCCATTTTATGTACTATTCAATGCTAATTTCAGTAACTTCTGATATAAACACGTCCCTCAACGCCTTTTCTTTATGCTCCTGTCTCAATGAATTATTATGTAATTTTGTTTTGTGAGTTTTTTCTGCGTTTCAATACAGTATAGCCTCCAAATTAGTTCAGGGAATTTCTTCATTGAAATTATATACTTTACAACCACTTGGCTTTAGACTCTGAACACGGCTTATGGTTTAATTGTTTACCCCTTCTAGCTCCTACTGAGTTCAGTAATACATCCATTATCTATTCATGTCTTTCCAACTATTAAGATCTGCATAAAGTTGAGGTACTTAACTTTCCAAGCACAACAAATTTCGCCATGTAATACAATCCAATGAGAAAACCCTCAGTCAGGCATTCAGATATTTGCCCAAAGCACCAAATAGTGACTCACATGGCTCAAGTATGCAAAAAATGACACGTTTTCTAATATAATGCTGGTATGATTTGTTGACAAAATCGTACTTTTACAAAACTCTTTCTGTTGCGACAAACACCATGTATGATTTTTTGCCATTTTTAGGGACCAAAATGTGTCTTTTCTAAAACAATTATCTCCGTGTGATTTGAGTTACCATGGAGTCTGTGTAAGCTCACCTTGTGTGTGTTTTCAATCTACGCCTGTGTAACGATAACATCCACTCTGTATGTTATTGTGGTTCTGTCTGATCCGCCTGTATGAGCTCCCACATGTTCCTCTTATCTACACTAACCTGGTGCTGGACGCTTTTGTCTGTGGAACAATGGTGATATGTTGGAGATACTGTCTCGACTCAAGGGCCGGTTCAGGAAACCAGACGGAAAAAGAAGAAAAGTCAAGAATATAGAAGAAGGCAGCCTCTCAAATTAAGAGTCACTATCGGCATCCACCAGACCAATGCATATTTCTAATTAAACAATTTAGATTATACACACCATATTCTATACAACCTGTGAAGTAGAAGAGCAACTTTGCCTCATAGAGTAAACCTACGCCAACACAAGGAAGGTTACAATCAAAGTAACAGGATATTCATAGTTAAGGGCAACTTGTGTGAGGCAAAAACAGCATTCTACACCCTGAAAGAGAGCAAGTATTGGAGAGTACAGTGGACCCTCGTTTATCGCAGGGGTTATGGTCGCAGCTCTAAGTTTTGAGGCTGTCAAAAGTGTGATTGCTATGATTTAAAACAGGTTTGTTATACATGTAGGTCTGAATAAGCCTCTAGAAGACCTCTGAACTATAGTCACACAGACCCAGAATGTATTTTTCGGATTTAAAATATTCTGTAAAAAAAAAATCACAAAATTGTATCCCAGTTTCATAAAAGTTCATAATACTGGGAGTAAGTAATGCTTTTGACATCACAAACTTGCCCAATGCCCAACACCACCTGGAAGCAAATATAAATAGTATTGTCAGTAACCCACTTAAATGTGCAGGTTAAATCCGGCCCACATGTATGCTCACAGTCCTGGGGCACAAGAGCTGGAGTCACGCTGGAGAACGGCTTGAGCCACATACACAGATTGAATATTTGAGCAGGTGGTATAGTGTGCAAAGGTTCAGAGTCTGCATGCAGTTAGTGTTTGCTTAAACTCGAATCAGCTAAATTATTCAACTGTTCTGTGGAATATTTCAGGATAGAATCTATTCAAATATGCATGTGGCAAGATAGGTTAAAATTTGATATGTATCTCAAGCTGCTATACACATACTGTATACTGAATCTACATGCACACTATACTGTATCCAATCTATAGCCGTAAACCATTTCTACCATGGAGGGTGGTTGACTACAGGTCAAGAGGTTACAATCACACACTCATTCATCCACATTCACACCTCTGGACCACGCTTTCTACTTGAACATAAATACTGGTGAAATATGTAACTATTACAGTGTAAAGTTATCTCTAAGGTGATGATGCTTCAATGTTTACCTAAAACCTAAAACCCTTTAATCCTAAAACTACAGCATACAGAGAAGCAATACATAACTAATGAATGCTTCTGTATAATCACTGCTCATCCAGTGAGAGTTTGATTTAATGTGTGCATAAAGAGATTTCATTCAACAATGATAATTGTCTTACCAATAGAAACTGTCAATGACATTACGCAGTGCTATTGTTTCCATATATAGGATGATTGTACAAGTGTAGGCTGCGTACAATGAGTCAGACTGTGTGTAGGTGGGCTCATAGAAGCATGACTGACCTTGATTTTCAAACAGTAAATCCATTTTCGCATGCTCCCATAGGTACGCAGTACAAAATATGCTATGGCATTTTATAGTGAGGTCATATCTAGGACATTCAAGGAATCTGGGTTGACTCAACCTTTTTTCGTCATACATTCTGGTGTGCTGCAAAGGTCAATACATGTAATATACATAATAACATTACGGCAAAATCCATAATCTGAGTAGTATAAATGTTGTGAAAACTCTGAAACCAATACATCTATCTAAATCTGGTTTGTGGTTATCTCCCATCAGCCCCCGATATGAATTTGTGACATTTGCTCTTTGTGCCACCCATAACAACACTGTTGATCTATCTGCACTGCATCTGCATAAGAATAGTATAAGAATAGAACACAATCAGACTTGGCAATAAAATGAAGGGGAACAGGGGGATAAGCTGAAGAATGAGAAGTGTGAAAAGGAAAAGTACGCTAGCAGATATAATATATGTACAGCAGATACATTTGTCTCATCACACAGCACTTACCTGTTACAAGCTCTCGGATTTCCACATCTCCAGTCTTCCTCAAGAGACGCACCAAAGCTGGGATTCCTCCACAGTTCTTCAGAGCCACTTTGTTCTCATCGTTCGCTTTGCCGTAAACCAGATTTCTTAACGCTCCACAAGCACTGCGGTGGACTTCACTCATCCGGTGGTCCAGCAGGTCCACGAGAAGCTGGATACCCCCTTGTCTTCGAATCTACAAAAAAAAACAAAGCACATTTGAGCCTCCATTACAATGTCTTGTTCCTCTTTGATTGATAGCACTTGTGAACTGAGATTGCGGTCTTTTTATCCTTATTACCTCGGATTTTAGTTCAAATCTATTCAACAAATAGGCATACACTAATTAAAACCACCGTGACACTGCTAATGACTGCGCTTCATAAAATAAGATGACACTTAATTAAGGAAAAATCAGCACGCCCCATTGCTCTTCTGTCTGTGAACGACAGGCGAACAAACAGCCTCTCAGGACAGCACAAGGCAGCTGTCCACTCCATTATGATGCAACTTTGCTTTATGTTGAGCTAACATTTACGTTTTTTGACACTTTTCTTTCAGATAAAATGTTCAGAGAGTAACAATTTCATTTTCATAATTCTCATAAACCGGACTTTATTCTTTGATTGTCAACTTTCTTTGGTTTTACACATTTTCAAGATTCAAGATTCAAGAATTTATTTGCCATTAGCAGTAAAACCACATTGGAAAAACTCAGCAAGACTACCCCAGTGTGCACCGGGATAGTACACACCAGCGCTCCCGGCACGGTGCCATTTTTCCAGTTTTGGGAATACAACTCAACTGGATTTACCCCAATGAAGTTGTTATGCACACTGCAATATTCCCTGCCCTGGTAATACATTAGGATGTAACGACTGAACGGATTGGAAAGGGCAGACTATGTTCAAACAGCTAACTATTTCATCTTGTCAGACCCTCTCCTCTCTCATGTATAAATTATGCATGTTGAAATGTCTTGATGATAAAAACATGTTAAACTCGCACTAGCATAAATGAAGGATTCAAAAAGGCCAATGTGTAGGCAGTTTTCAGATACCCAATGGAATATCTATAGATGCCGATATCTATCAAATGACATGCAGGTTGGGACACCAAGTAAAAATAAAAAGGGAAATTTACTTATAAAAAGGTAAATAACATATATGACAGCAGGCCAGTTAAAATGCAGTAGACATCTCAATGATCCCGGCAGTGTAACATATTAAATACTCGTGCTTTGATGTGACATGTAAATACTTTCCCTTTTAGTGCACTACATATTAGGTTGAGTTTCTCCAGTGTTACACCACAGGGATCTGCTATGTTCTCAGGGCTGCTGGGAACTTACAGCAGCGTGTCTGCAGTCTTAACCACAGGGGTGTACTGTGAATGCTAAAATGAGCTAATCGGTGCAGGGACTATTGATATGGCAGCAACTAGTGTGTGTTTGAGTGAGTTTATGAGCAATAAAGACGAAAGAGAACTCTTATTTAATATTACATTCCCCCCCCCCGGTGAACTGCATATAGTCATAGACATCGAAATCCAAGCCTTTTCTCTCCTCCTGCATGGCCTCCTACAGACCGGGGAAATCAAGGACGAGCAAATATCTTCAGTATTTGCTAAAGTCGGCACCAACAGATGGATCGAGAAGTTCTCAGAGGACAAAAAATATGACTTTTCCAAAACTCATTTTATTGTCTCAAGTAAAAAAAAAAAAACTGCATATCTGCCACTACATAAACATATGCAAACAAGTGATTCAGCCCCTTTCTTTAGTGGTTTCATTGTGTATGTGTAGGCTAAAAATAAATTATAAAAGAAACAGATTTTAATTCTCTTACTGTACATGCAAGATATTGATACTGCCTTAGGGATAAAACATATATTGGAAAGCACAGTCTATGCGGGTCTCGGTATTTGTGTATCATTATGAAGAAATAATTATATTACACAACTGCTTATAGTCTTTCCACCTTGTAAAAACAGGGTTAAGAAAGAATAAAAAAGTAAGAAAGCGCTGGAGGGCAGAGACTGGGCGGACGCGTTTGATGACGCAGCAGGAGTTTATCGAGCAAAATGACTTTGCTTATCTATTCAATTAAAACGGATTAAAGGATGCAGCGAACGGCAAACTAACCTTGCACCACTGGCCGCACATTTCCCAAGCAACCTGATTTGTGGTGCCCTGCTGTCTTCACCCCTCGCCTCTCGCCTCCCACTCCTCCGCCTCCCCCTTTCTCTGCCTCTTTATGCTTGTGTCACACTTAATCTATCCCTCCATAAAAACCATGGCACTATTACTTTGCACTGTGAGCTACCTGCAAGTCTCGCCACAGCCTCTATCCCACGTTTGCATGTAAAAGAAGATTAGAAGTGCAGATTGATTTGTCTTTGTCTCCCGCTGTTCTGCATCGGCCCTGGCTTTCAGTAACCAATGGCGACAGGAGCATTGCTGTGGTAACTGTTAGCAGGGGTGACAGCTGCAAGGATTGTTGGAATTGGAGGTGCTGTAGGTGTAAAAAATGAAAAAAAGTGCGATGGGGCATGGGTGACACATACCTGCAGCCTAACAGAGTATGATCCAAAACATATGAGGTGTCAACAGTGATCAGCAGCAGCAGCAGGCAGCGTCTATCAGGACAATGTTACATACTAGGGTTTTATTAAAGCTGGAGAATGTAACTTTCAAAGCACAAAACAAATAAAGTGTGTCATCAAATCCATCTAACTAGTTTGGTTCTATTGCTAGTTCTCAACTTGGCTCTCAGATAAACCCCCCGGTTATTTTACCGTTGCGTTTGACTCTTTCTGTTGGGATAAATAAAATGTTGTGATTATGATAAGTGAGGTATCCCTATCCCAGCTTTGTCTGGCTGTATGCACTAAAGAATTGGACAATATTTCAGCCCAGGGAGTATTTCAAAACTCCCATACTTTATTAATTTTGTTTCATCCATGGATTGTCTTCTGCTTTATCCATTGCCGGATAGTTGGGGCAGCAGTCTAAGCACAGAAGCCACACTTCCCTATCCCTCCCTACACCCAGCCATTTGAGAAATATAATCCTTCCAGCTAGTCCTGGGTCTTCCACATGTTCTCGGTGGAACGTCCTCAGCCGACAGCCAACGCAGCACCGATCTGTCTGTCAATCTCACACTCTATCCTTCCCTCACTCAGGAAGATGGGCCCGATACACTTTCTAACCTTTTACCAGTCGAGCACCATGGCCAGTTCAGACCCTGATTGCAAGTGCAAGTGAAGGCCCTGGTTTGATGTAACCCTAGCGAGCTGGTGCCGTTCCACCCTTGGACTTGAAGAGTAAACTCGACATTACACATAAGTAATTAATGTAATGTTACTGCGTCTGTTTATAGCATTGTTGTACAGACTGTTGTACTGATGTGCGCTTGTGTAGTCATTTGTACCTAGCACTTAGCTCAGGGAAGGCTAACTGCTTTTTAAACCTCTCAACCTTGAGCTAATTGAGTTCTTGGCCTATGCTAACATTTTCCTCTGGAGTATTTCAAACTAGGTCAGTCAGAACATTAACCTATGACTGCCTAATATTGTTGGACTAACTCTGCAAAAGCATTTAGAAAGATAAAAGTCTTACAAGAGCAACTATTACCAGCTATAGTGTGTGGATAAAAAATGGCGAGAAATAAAAGAGCACTCCAACAACTTGATTTGATATATTCCTCTGTTGGAGGAATATATCGAATCAAGTTGTAAATGTTAACCCCATAACATTTACTCAGTTGCGTAATAGCAGTCTTTCAGTTGTTTGACATTTCAGTTGTTTGGCAGCTCACAAAAACTATGGATGAACAATTACAAAATATTGTTGTGATAATACCAAGGGTAATAGTGATATGGTAAACATTTATAAACATTTTGCACATATTTCTTTCGCCTTTAAACTTTTAAACAACTCCGACAGATTCTGGGTGGCTGGAAAGAACAACATGGCGGAGAAGAGATGAGCTCAACACTGACAGCCTCAGTCCTGAAACTACAGCATTAGTCCTGGATCTACAGTTGGAGTCCTGGATCTAAAATCCCAATCCTGGATCTACAGCGATTTTTTCCCACTGGGTATTTGAGTCTAAGGACAATGATCGTCCAACTGTTCTCTGGTCTGATATTGGCGAATCAACAATGTTGTAAAGTCCTCAGAGACGACTAGTGACCAAGAACAAAATAAATGTATTTGTAGTGAGCTAACAAATTTATGATTTCTTTGAGGATGGAAAATATCATCATATATATCATTATTACTGCTAGCACTTGTCCCCAGTGTTCAGCGATGAAACATGAGCAATGACAGAGACGTTCTAAAGGTTGTGCAGACTTTTTGACATCGCTTTATGACTGACATAAAAGGTGGGATGAAGGCAATGGATGGATAAATAACCTGTTACAAGGCAGCCATAAATTTCTCTCCCCTGAACCAGGCTCGCATTAAACCAGGCCCTTTCTGCAAAGGTTACTGAGGAGAAACCCAGAGCCTGAGCATATGCAGGAACAATACTTAATACGTACAATCACTGCACTTCAAACAATACAAAGGCTCTATGCACACAGTGGCGCAGCGGTACACTTGTCACTTGCGGCAGACTTTGTGCGCGGTGGTAACAGCGGCTGTCATCCATGGACTGTTTCATTCATGTGTGTGCTTGAACCTTGGTTTGTTAAGGTTGATTTACATTTCGTCTGTGGTTTTATCAGTGCAGTTTGCTGTTCGTTATGCACAGTACATTGCATTGTCCTGGTAGTCCTCAGTAGCAATTATCTAAATCCAAAAATTCAATGTATTCTTGTATAGCCCTAAATCACAAAAGTATTTATCTCGGAGGACCAATCTCCATAAATGCTGATAAATGGCCATAAATGTTGTTGAATGTCAAGTGTCCTGGATCATTGCCGCTGTCCTCGTAGTTTTCTCTGTAATTCCTAATCTCATCTCATCTTCATCCCCTCTGTCCATTTCTGGGTCGGGGGAGCTGCCACCCATTTCTCACAGCACCCCTCACTGATTTTCGCATATAGGCGTCTAGAAATGGAGAAAATATTCAAAAACATATGCATGATGATGGCCAGTAGAAAGAACATTCAGCCTTAAGAATAATAATGCTGGTTTATGAATCTAATCAATATCAAATAATGATCTGAGAAAACATTTAGACATTTAATTTTCTCTTTCTTATAAAAAAATGTTTCTTTTGTTGAATTGTTACCTGTCTGAAATACTGAAATAGAACATTACAACATGAACACAGCCTTTAAATCATGGTTTCAAACCAGTTTAGTTTCTATTGAATTGAATGAGAACGAAAGAATGAGCTCAAAATAAAAGAGTCAAGAATATCAGATTAAACACAATAGTCGTCACAATTTTCAATAAAACAGCGAGTCAAACATCCTACCCCTTTAACGCTGACAAGTTAGACACAACAACCGCTGTAGCAACACACACAAAGAAAAATTAACTTAAAATGCAATTCACTCAAATATCAGCAGCACTCATGTGTCTTCACTGCATCAGACACTGTGCCTACCAAACAAAATGGCCCCAAAGCATCTACTGTATAGTGTTTTATTTTATGCAAACCGGGTCATTCAGAATTGCCAGTGTGTGCTCTCTAACGATATTCCATATATTTGATACAACGGATTGCTGATACTGTGCCACACTAATTGAAAGTATTAGAGGCTGAATGTAAATAGTTGAGCAGAGGCTGGATGGTAATGGGACGAGGGGTGGCAGTTCTCTCCACTCATGCAGAATAGTGGATAAATGGATATCGACAAGCCTTCTGCCCAAAATGAATCACCGATGACTGAAGTTGAGAGCATTTGTTGTGTCTGATCATGCATTCAGAAACAGGCTGTGGCACTGGGAGAGTGGAGACCAGAAGGACATTTTGGAGACTATTGCTGTGATTAGATCTTAAGTTAAATAATAGGGAACACTTTCAGTTTTGTCTTATAATTCCATGGTGTTTGTATGATCCAATTCTTCTGGTCTAGTTTCATCAATGGATTTCACGCTTATCTCACTTAAAGCCCTAAATCACAACAGCACTCGTCTCAGAGGACTTTACAAGGTTGTCACATGCTTGTATCTCATGTAAACATATCGAGGCAACACAACTTCTAGATTAATCCTACTGAAAAAAGGACCATGCAGCCACCAGGAGAGCTGAGAAAAGGACATTTAATTTAGATTTATCCCAAAAAATATGTTCCATTTTACAACAAATGAGGAGTTTCTGATTGAAAACATGATTTTCATTTTAATTGCAAACTCTGTATGTCACTTTTAGTGCAGTGTTGGCACCACATGGAAACAGCTCCAACATAACAGCTGTAATTGGCTCTGTGCACACGGAGCGCTGCAGTCTTTATAAAATGGACCAATTCTCGAAGACAGGATGTTGTAATCGAAGCTTTTTGTGATCCAATAACTGATGAAGTGATTAATCAGCCCTACAGATATTACACAATGTATCCCTACTGGGTATGATGGATATTTGTGGATTGCTTTATATAAATAATACCATTTTTCATCTATTCTTTTCACAGAGAGCACATTTTCATGTTTTGTTTCCCTGCCAATTTCTAAGATGTGACCCCACCATGAAGAATATCTGATTATTGAGGAATCATTTGAACTGCTGTGCTCTTGCCATAATAATATTTGTATACATCCCAATCAGGTGCAAGTAACATTAGTCTTTGGAAGTCCCATAAGGCCATGTTTCCATAAGTTATCAACTGATCAGCTGTATCATTATTCTAAAGTTTCCTTGAGGATGAGAAGGCAAACTTCTATGCTCCAGAGTATTGTGGGAAAATGTTTGAAATGATGCATTAAAGACAATCTTTGTATTTGAATTAAAGGTACCACACAAACATCATTCACCCACACGAAACCTTGAAGATTTCCTCACAATCTCAAGAGCCTAAAGAAAGACTGAATAAACTTTCTATCCAGCAGCACACATCAGTCATTAAGCCACATGCTTCACACTGCGTTCACTTCCGCACTGGTGACAGCTAATGCAGTGCCAATGTCTGTCCCTGCTGTTAATTGGTTCAATGTTTGTCTATTCTTAACATTTCAATGTGGGTCTTATTTGTATTCACAAGAAATCAGACAACAGTAACACGCTAAAGTTCTCTTATTATTCATGTCTTTAAATCTTTTGTTATCAACTGAATTCTTAAGCTGACCTTCTGCAAATGAATTCCATCTTCACCGATTATTCACCGTCTTCGTTTGCAAGGATTGAGCGCAATTTAAAACCTGCTTTAAGATGAAAAGTGGCGTCATTAAGTTAGTCACAGGTATCGTCTGAGCATTATTAAGTTCAACAGAGTGTGGTTTTCAGACAAAGATCAAAGACGCCTTGCCAAGCTTATCTAAAGGAGGCGGTTTGATTCACAAAAGCCATTTGAGAACAAAATAAGTTACACAAGATGAGATCTATAGGCAACAAACAGACAGCGACTTTCAAATCGACAGTTAGCTGAAAGTATTTCCTGCAAACTGAAAGGAGAAAGAATGACTACTATACCATTATAACATTATATCTAAAGAGAGCTGCTACTAATTGGCTGCGTTGCTGAGTACAATGACCACAAGAAGTCAGATGTTGTTTTGCAAACTGGAGCTGTGTGGATAATGTGAAGTTTAATGAGTAGCACACATTTTGCCTTCCAACAACAAGCGCTAACTTATGAGGATTTTTCGTCAATGGTTCCTGTTATTGGATAATTACTGTACTTCCAATTGCACCATCAATAAAAACTATCTCTGCCTGTTTTAAGTGCGTTTTACACTTTTTCAGGCCTTTAAAAAAGCATGTAATTTATAATGTTCTGTTTATGAAGCGATTAACATTTGACAATGTGCTTTGGGTGCTGTTCATTTCAGTTTGCTCTGCTTCCTTTCATTTGAGCATGAATGAGCGATAGAGAATACTATTAGCTTGGTTTGCGAAAGCGGCTATTGACTGGCTTGCAGAAATTAATTTCATCAAACAAATTTATCAATGCCCTCGTCTGTGTGAACCTGTAAATTGATTCCAAGGGTAATATGGGGAGTACAGGGACGTGTAATTTCAGGAAAATATTTACTTGAAAGTGAGTGCACAAGCCTGGCTATTGTTGAAAACCTGCTTGAAATATTTAGAGTGTTTATTACGAAGTTCCAGGGAGAATTCCCAAAATTGCTTTGCCTGAACAAATCTGTGACTAAGGGACTATTAGAAGTTTAATGTCAGCATAGGAGCAACTTAATACTAGGGACAGCTTAGAGATAGAAATGATAACTTGCATTTCTCGCAGATAAGATAAACAAACTGCAACCTTCAAGACTCTTTCATCTTCTGTACAATATTTCTTTTGCGTCATGTTCTCATACACAAATCATGCAGAGACAAACCTCAGCTTTAATCTTGTTGTCCCCAAAGCAGAGGTGCTGTAAGTAGGCGGCGGCGTTGGACTGCACTGAGGGGAACTGGTGTTGTAACATCTGGATCACCTCTGGCAGCTCCGGGTCTCTCCAGCCAAACTCTCTGGAAACACAGACACCAATTTGAATTGTTATAACAATATGAATCCAAACAAATTACAGCAAGTCAACATTTGCATGAAAACAAATTATACTTCCCAAATTGAGTTGTAAAAATGTGTGTTCTGCTGTTGCAGAATGTTTTGGATCAATTGTGTGACAAGAAAAAAATGCCAAGAGTGGGCAGCTAGCTTGGGCTACTGGGTGTTTCATAAACATTCAGCATTTGAATTGCTCTTTATCTATGCAATGACTTCAGCTTTACTGTACATTGCTTGGACATACTCATGTGGTAAAAGATAAGATAGACTTTATTGATCTCACACAGGAGAAATGTACATGTCACATCTGGCTGGATAGAATCACTCAATATTGTGAAACAGAAAGAAATGTGCAAACATGTTAAATGCATTATATATTATGTACTATAATTTTTTTTAATTTGAAACAAATATATGTTTCAAATTCAATATGATCCATAGTAAAAAGGACACTTAGGTTGACCAGACTGGGTCAACAGGCATTGATTTTTAACATACTTTAAACTAGAGTCCGGCTCTTCTGAGCTGTAAAAGTGGATTTAAGATCTCCATATTGATTCACAATCAATAAAAAAAATAAACAAATGAAGTTAACGACTACATTCCAAAGGTTCTTAGCTTTACGACAAGCACTTCAATGGTGACTTTGAGTAAGCAATAGAGTCATATACAATAAAATAAAAAGTCTTAGCTAGAGTTTCCAAAAATCAGTTTTATTTGGGACATTTTTGAGCCTTGTTATCCCACATGAATCAAACTATGTTGTTTTGTATCGCAGAAAATTACAGCAGAAACCCATCACCTCATTACAAAAGTTTTTACCTTATACTATTCCCACTTGTAATCTTTACAACTCTGAACACTCTATAATTTGGTAACCAGCACTGTGATAAGTCATATAATATATGTATATGTTTTTTTACTTTTTTATTATTACCATGCCAAAAGCAGATTTCTAGTTTGTGAACGTCCTGTACACTGACAATGGCCATAAAAGATGTTGGTTTAAATAGATCTGCAGCCTGCTAGCTGTTGAAAAGACCCACACAGCGATGGGAGTCTGCCTTCTGTCTGAGGGAGTGGTGTGAGTTATGGTCCCTGCTTTGCACCAGCAGGAGTTCGGACTCCTTAGAGTGCACTGGACAAAGTGAAATAAATGTGTTGTCCCTCAGTAATACCAAGGAAACGCTCTGCTTTATTGTATTATGCCCTGCTGATAATTGTTTTGCTATGGTCCCCCAAATGAGGAAATTACAGCTTGTGAGATAGCGTAGGCGGCTGTAATACTTTCTCCGATAACAACCATAAAACTGTTACTTTTCCTCTTCTCTCAGGCAACAGTGAAGCCAGCTCTTGATGTGATCTGACAGAAATCTATGCTGAAGTTTTGCATCTTTCATCGATTGCAGCATTTGCGGATTGATTATGTTGTTGCTGACTGCATGCTCACTGTGGCGTGCAAAAGTCCCAACAAGCTATCATCAGGAATTTAATTCTTTTTGCCTTCGAGCTCAGCCCTCATGGAAAACATGATGATTTTGGACAATGAAGTCAGAGATAGTAGGCTGGAAAGTCCACTTAATTTTAAATGATGATCATAGACTACTATTTTATGTTTCAGACTTTGCTTCTCTCAGTGCACTGTGACTTTTCTGTTTAAAATGTTACCAGCAAATTATTGTCATTGTTTCATTATAGAAGCATAATTTAATTCAATTCAATTCAATGTATTCTCTTACAGCCTTAAATCACAACAGCCTTGAATTCGCCAACACAGGCCAGAGAATCAAACCGTTTAAACACAAAAATTTCAATGTTAATAAAAGCAACATAATGTAACGTAAATATATATATGAAGATTTTTTTGGAGGTATCACAGTTGAACTATAATGTTATGGCCTTTCCTTTATTCTTATTGTTTGATTCTCTAATCTGTTGCTGTGCGAATTGACGATTTAAAAAAGCCCTCCTGTTGCAATCCAGGGCAAGAGAACAATACATTGAATTAGATTATGTGTTTACAAAGGAACTATGCATAATGGTCTACAATGCAAATTAATATCTAGACAATAATGCTAATATGAATACAAAATTATACAAGCATTTGGTCGGTTGTTCTATTATTAGCAGATATTATGACAGCAAACATCTCAACAACAACACCCACACACACATTTGTAATATGAGCTATCAAAATAAACCATTTCTTCCTTCCTCGCCACGCTGTAGCACAGACAGAGGTTTTTCAATTGACACATAAAAGAAGTGCCTTAGCGAGTTTTTTAAGAGCCAAAAACGTGACGCTCTCATCTGTGCCGGATCAAGTGAGCATGGCGTATGAAACATCTGTGAAATGCGCTGTGTTCAAGGGGAGTAAACATGCCTCTCAAAGATAAAGCCAGCCTCAGCGTGGTGGCTTCTTTATCTGCCCATTGATAAGTGTTCATTCAGCCAGAAAGCAGGAGGGAAGAGAGGGAGAGGCGCAGAGATAGACGCGAGGCTGGACCAGGGAGGGATTCCCAGGGCGTTTAGGGGATTTAGGTGGAGAGACCCTCAAACAGCGCTTCTTAAATCACAGTGACAGATAGCATCGGCCAGTTTGTTTATATATGTGTGTGTGGTAAGATTAAGATAGGATCATGATGAGTGTCTGTGTGGACACGACTGCCTCCGGCCTGTTTGAGTTTGTGTGCGCATGTAGCCTCTGTATATGTGCACGGAAAGATTTGTAAACGTCCGCAACTCGGTGCATCGGCGGCGGGTGTGCGCGTGTCGTCCGTCCCCTCCAGCCACCCCTGCTCTGTCAGTGCAGTTAATAGAAAGCAGAAAGATCAGGCGATAAGATAAGATTCGTGGCTCTCCATTAATTAAAAAACCCTGGTAGGCAGAGATACGTTGGAGGGAAGGGGGGGGGGCACAGTGCAAAAAAATAAAGAAAAAAAAGAAAAGACTAGAAAAATATGTAAGAATGCTTTTTGAGCTGGACCATGGGCACAGAGATGTAGAAAGGATAGAGAGGAGTAGGGAAAATAGCCTCAGATGAGATGCCAGTCTGTCCACACTGGTGCTAATGAGAGCTGAGGCTGGGTAGACACTGCCAAGGTGACAAGGCAATCATGGAAACAGCAGGATGCAAACCGGAACAGAAAAAGCCAGGTTCCCAGGACTATAGTCAAAGAAGAGTTGCCAGCTCCAGTACGCAAAGCACTACAATTAGACGCATCCACACACACTACGCTAAAATATATTCACCGGTTTTATGTTATACTCATAGTCAGTTAGAATATCAAACAAGAAATGTTGGACTGAACTTGAGGTATAAAGTGACAAAGTGATGTTTTCCTGTGTTAGATTACCTTAGAGTCCACTTTTTATCATTACAAAGTCAGAACAGTGCAACGAAATGCAGTTTTGCATCTAACCAGAAGTGCAAGAGTATAGGATAAAATGTACAACACGGATATACAGTATACTGTATATATTTGCAGTGAGACCATACAAAGCTGCTATTGCTAGTATATACAGTACATCCATTATAATACATTGCATTAAAGTGCATCAGGATGACAGAAAACATTGGATACATTCATATTTCCTTTTCATAGTGGATAAAGCAGACCGCTATTGTCTAAATTGTATGTTGTCAAATGATAGAAAATTAAGCACCATTTCAAACAGAGCTTTTCATCGGCAAAATTGGCAATTTTTCAAAACAAAACACACACAAACCCAGATCCAGCCCCAACAAAACACCCCACATGAAATGCAATTATGTTATATTTTATGATTCACGTTTGATGCCTGTGACTTTGTGAGGTATCGTAACAATTATGACACTTCTGCACCACTGTTTTTTAGGTTTCTGTTTAGTCTGAGGCACTGTCATTTCTCAACATGCCGTGTGGAGGCGTGATGCAGCTAAAAAGTTTCATGGGAATCACAATAGGGAGCGGTGTGACATACTGAGAATAAATAAAGGAGCTGTTGGGGAAGAAGGTGTGGGCAGCGCGATAGAACAGGGACAGAGAAAACCGTGGCGTGGTGGTGGAGCTTTGGATGTGATGACGAAGAAGGAAATGACTAAAAGGCTCAATCATATTATTTCATTCAAAAAAGTGTGATATTATTTTGAAAATGACACCAAATTACTTACTGGTATTAGGAATAGATTTTCATAAGCTAACAAAATTATTAGTTAGTTATTCAAAAAATGTATTTATCATCCAATTATTATTATTTTTACAAGTCCGTATAGTCCAAATGAGAGGGCTCTGCCTGGAAAGCAACGGAAAAAGAGACAAGAAGAGGGGAATGGACAGGATTTCCAATTCTGAGCTCTTAAAATATTGATCAGTGACGTCAATGGGCTACTCAGTTCCAGACCTAAAACTAAAATAATAAAAAATAGCCAACAGTTGACTGATGTACTTTTTGAGACACTCAAAGACGTTTTACAGATGAACAAATGTTATGGATGTGTGGGTTCATTTTAGCAACAGGAAAACAGATTCATGCGTCTACTTTAAAGGAGCAATATGTAAAAATCTGGCCAAAACAACTGGACTCTCTCTGACTCATGTTGCCAGATATGCATATAAATCCAGCTGGGACCATAATAACTGAAAAGAGTTTTGTCAGCAACAAATCTATAACAAACACCTTTTTCACAAAGGTCCCGATAGAAATCCACACTTATTCCTTGTTTTGTCAGTAATGATTTGAGAATCCTAACAAGACCTTTTCTAGTAACCCGGATAACAGACTTTCTGATTGGTAAAACGGTGGAGGGTGGGAAACCGAAATGAAAACAATAACAATATTTAGGGGCTGTAAAACCAATTTTGAACATCTCGTCTGAACCACTGTTCATCAGTCAAAAAAGTATTAGAAAAGAGCACGGTTTATTAATTTATTAATGATGACTTGAAAATCTTGTAAAACATATTGCTACTTTAATTATTAC